CTCTCTCTCTCTCTCTCTCTCTCTCTCTCTCTCTCTCTCACACACACACACACACACACACAAACATACACATACACACACACAATACATGAAAGCTAGAGGGTGGCTAGTTTCGAAGAGGAGTTAGAGGGAGACGGGGGTGAATGTGATTGAAATACATTATGCACATGTGCGAAAATGTCATAATGAGACTTCTTATTCTCATTGTACTCTAATAGAAAGATTATATTTTCTAAAGATTTAGCACAGTGATTATGGGCGTGCGGTTTTGCAGAGCGCCAGCTGCTGGGCGTGGCACCGGTCTCCCTCGTATGGCTGGGGGGACGTGGGGCAGGTCACGCACCACGTCTGCTGAGACTCTCCCCTACCGGGCCTGGCGGCTCTCGAGGACCGCTGTCAGCTACCCGGTCGGTTCCGTCCCAATCTACTGAGCACTCCCTCTGGGTTCGAGATCCGTCAGCTGCCGGGTCATGAGGGGAGGCGCGGGACAGCGAAAGCAGGGTCTTCCTGAGTCGATGACGGAAGGATAGCCCCTTCAGACAAGTGACTCAGCTCAGATCAAGATTACATTTTCTAAAGATTTAGCACAGTGATTATGGGCGTGCGGGTTTTGCAGAGCGCCAGCTGCTGGGCGTGGCACCGGTCTCCCTCGCGCCGCTGCTGGGACGTCACGCACCACGTCTGCTGAGACTCTCCGGTACCAGGCCTGGCGGCTCTCGAGGACCCGCTGTCAGCTACCCAGTCGGTTCCGTCCCAATCTACTGAGCACTCCCTCTGGGTTCGAGATCCGTCAGCTGCTGGGTCACGAGGGGAGCCGCGGGACAGCGAAAGCAGGGTCTTCGTGAGTCGATGACGGAAGGATAGCCCCTTCAGACAAGTGACTCAGCTCAGATCTCAGTGATTCAGCTCTAGCTTTATTGGGGTAAAACTAGGATTATTTATAGTGTGGAGACAGTAGAAAAAGCCTTAGCTGATAGGTGCTCCTGGAATGCTTCATTTACATAGGGCGATGGGCTTCTATCAGGCTATCAGACAATGCCTGATTAAAACCTGGTAGTTTCTGTGCTGGAGGGCATGTATCTGTGATGGTTATTTCAAAAGTAAGTCAGGGAGGAGAGCAGAAGGTGCCCCGCTGAGAAGGGGAGTCTCCCCATTTGTGCCGAGCCGGCCGCGGGACAGCGAAAGCAGGGTCTTCGTGAGTCGATGACGGAAGGATAGCCCCTTCAGACAAGTGACTCAGCTCAGATCTCAGTGATTCAGCTCTAGCTTTATTGGGGTAAAACTAGGATTATTTATAGTGTGGAGACAGTAGAAAAAGCCTTAGCTGATAGGTGCTCCTGGAATGCTTCATTTACATAGGGCGATGGGCTTCTATCAGGCTATCAGACAATGCCTGATTAAAGCCTGGTGTGCTGGAGGGCATGTATCTGTGATGGTTATTTCAAAAGTAAGTCAGGGAGGAGAGCAGAAGGTGCCCCGCTGAGAAGGGGAGTCTCCCCATTTGTGCTGAGCTGGCTTGCGGATATCCGGACATGGGGAGACTGCTACCCTAAACAGCAGGGGTCCCCAACAAGTGATAGAATGCTTGTCTAGCATGCACAGGCCCTAAGTTCAGTCCTCAGCACCTCAAAAACAAAAACAAAACTTCCAAACTAAAGCAAAATATTATTCTTCTGTCTTTTCTTTCTTGGAGATAATTTTTTGTATGTATGTAAATAATGTAATGTAAATGACTTCAAAATACTTAGGCTATAATTTAAAGTGAAATCAGCTTTCAAAAGTATTGTCATATTTCTTGGGGCTGGAAAGATGGCTCAGCAGTTAATAGATAGCACTGGTTGCTCTTACAAAGGACTCAGGTTTGATTTCCAGGAGTGCCCGATGGCTAATAACTATCTGTAACTCCAGTTCCAGGAGATCCAATGCCCTCTACTGATTTCCTTGAGATTACATGACAGGGATGCACTTATATACATGCAGGCAATACACTCATACACATAAAATAAAAATAATAAA